CCTCAATCAACCCTCACAACTCCCCACTACCAGTTCACCTTCCAATGACCCTGACCTGATGTAATCTCCCTATCCCAAGACCCACTACAAGACTCTCACTGATGATTCACATAAGACCCATCACAAGACTCTCACTTGACACACCCATACCTGAAGCCCTTATAAACAGAAAAACTGTCAGGTCCCATCGTTCTCTTTTGGGACACTGCCATTCTGGTGGGAGGCTTGGAGGATATTCTTTGCCTGGGGTTTCATCTGCTTTGCTTTGCCTGTACCTTGTGGAAAATAGGGAGGGGGGGGAAGGAATGTGTCATTCCTTGGGTCATGTTAGGGAGGGGGAGAAGTGGAAAGTGATCCATATACAGAAATATCACTAGCAAATGTTACAATTATCAAACATATTATCATCATTTTTATGTTCAATGCTAAACGTGCTTGCACCTCAGTGTTCCATAAAAATTCATACACATAATACATGTGGACAGATATACCCATTTGTATCAGCAATAGGTTTAAATGAAGTATCATTTCTAATTCTTGCACCAATTCAAGAAACAACAGAAGGAATGCAGTTACTCCCACATGCAAACACATATAGTAGCATTTGTCAAAGGAAAAAAAAGAGCATGGGAATATATGGAGATATACTAATACATACAAAATTGTCTTACATTACATTAGAATATTTTACCTTACCCGCTGCTACGTAACGGACAACAAAATCTATGGCCAAGAGGTAGTTCCAGTAATTTTACTGAAGGTCCTCCACATTCAGAAATATCAGCCGGAACACAGGACTTCATGTACATGAAGGATTCAGTCTATCAAAGATATAGCTAGTGAGATATATAGGTAGTCCTCGACTTACAAGTGAGCCCAAAATTTCTGTTGCTAAATGAGATATTTACTAAATGAATTTTGCCCCATGTCATGACTTTTCTTGCAAGTTGTTAAGTGAATCATTGCAGCTGTTAAGTTAGTGATACATTTAAGTGAATCTGGCTTCCCCATTGACTTTGCTTGTCAGAAGGTTGCAAAAGATGATCACATGACCTGAGGACACTCCAACCATCATACATGAGTCTGAATTTTGATTACATGACCATGGGGATACTGCAATGGTCATGTGAAAAATAAGTCACTTTTTCAGTGCTCTTGTAACTTTGAACGGTCACTAAATGTGCTGTTGTAAGTCAAGGACTACCTATACTGGGCAAGAAACTTGAAAGATATCACTATAACTAAAATCTATATGTGAGTCCTGTTAAGTTGCAAATAACCTCCTAGCAATAGCTGTCAAACACGGGGTCATTCCATGTCAAGGGAGCTGGGGGGGGGGAGGGCCTGCTCGACCATCACAGATTTCAATGAAATTGTGTGTAAATATGCACACATGTTCCCAATTAACATTGGTGAAGTGTTACGTTTGCTGATGCAATACTTGTGGAGATATAGTTATTTCTTTGACCCCCATACCCCAGTCTTCTACAGTATGACTCTGGAGTTTCAGCAACTTTGAGACATAATATCTCCCACAATATTTTGTTTCCACTTGAACCAGCAACCCCATCGCCATAGGGTTCACGTCCAATGGCTGTGCAATACCAGCCATGGGTAGATTTCTTGGTTCAGGATCCCAAGCCTGTAGTTTGGTTTCTTCCTCGAGGTTCCAAAGCCTTGTGTAGGTATCTGTCCGGTTCCCAAGCTGACATTTGGACAGCTTATCCTAGGTTCCCAAGCCTAAAGTAGGTATCTTATATGGCTCCCAAGCCTCAGGCACACATTCCATCTGCATCTACCCCATTCATCAAAATGTTAAGCTTATGCTTTATCAACATAATAAGCGACAAACGGATGCACTGTGGCTTGTGAATTCTCCCAGTGAAAGCTTTGACCAGCATCTTGGACAACAAACAAGCAATTCTCCACAAAATCCATCAGTACAATCAGTTCGATTTCTTTTAGGCCGGCTTTTAACTGCTTCACATATTCACTTTGATGTTTTGAAACGAAGTGGTGGCCAGTCAGTTTCCACATTTTGCTAGCAAGTTTTTCGATAAAGCCATCAACAGTGAGAACATTTGTTTCCAGCATTTCACGGTCAGTATGAACCCATTGTTTGAATTCTATTGATTCTTCCGAATCCCAATTCTTGAATATTTCATTCATAAGCGTGATCAGTGCCTCTTCACCAGGGTAGCTTTGGCATTGCTGCAACATACAATCTTTGGTGCTCAGATCACAAATTGCCTTTCCCAAGAGCAGCTTATAGTCCTCTTTAATGATGGCACCTTGTAGCATAAGCTTAATATTTTTATGAATGGTGTAGACACAGAAGGAATGTGTGCCTGAGGCTTGGGAACCATATGAGATACCACTTTAGGCTTGGGAACCTAGGATAAGCTGCCAAATCGTTGGCTTGGGAACCTCAAGGAAGAAACTAAACTACAGGCTTGGGATCCTGAACCAAGAAACCCATCCGTGGCTGCAATTGCACGGCTATCGGATGTGCACCCTATGGCGATGGGGTTGCTGGTTCAAGTGCCTGAACTGGTAACAATGTCACCATGGACCAACACAATGTAATAGTAGTAATGATGTCTATATAAAACAAACAAGGCAAAACAATAATAGAATGCATGTGACATTGCCATAGCAACGTCAACTTTGTCCCTATTTTTAGGGCTTTATATGTCAGTGATGAAAAACCAACTCTACTTTTTAAAGGGGTCTGAAGCATGCTCTTTCTAACAAGAATGATTTAAGAGTTTCCAGAAGTTATTTTTTTGTAAAATCAGGCTGAAAATACCCTATTTTCAGCGTTTTTACAAAATGTCATCTTTATACTCAATCTGTAAACTATTGAAAAGCAATTGAATGAAATTTTATATTCAAAAACCTTGTGTTGCTAAGTTATTATGCACAAAGTTTCATGTTTATCATACCATTCTTTCCAGAGATATAAAAAGCCAAACTTTAACCATTTTTTGAGCTGCTATATTTTCAGGCCAACTTTGCTCCGCATTATCTAGATGGAGATCGCTCATGAGAATGTTTTTATTATTTTGTTTAATAGAGCACAAAAAATTGTACAAGATGACCAAGTTTTGTTTCTCTCAACAAAATATTGCTGGAGATATTATGCCTCAAAGTTGGTGAAACCTCAGTCATACTGTAGAAGGCTGCGGTATGGGGCCAAACAAATGACTATATTTCCACAAGTATTGCATTGGCAAACATAACCAATGTTCATTAGGGACATGTGTGTATGTTCACACAAAATTTCACTGAAATCCGTGATGCTCGAGCAGGGCACTTTTCTGAAATCAGACCACTTGACATGGAATGACCCGAAGCTTGTTATAGTATGCTTTCAAATAACAGATTACATTTTAGATAAGGGGTTGCCAACGGGGGGGGGGGGGGGGGGGGGGGAAAAATTTTTGGGGGGGGCAAAAACTTGAGTTTTAGAAGTTTCTAAATTATAGTGCATATGCATAATTATTTTTTAAGGAGTGCAAAGAATATATCAGAAGCGTTCTATGGGTGCAAGGTATAGAAAAGGTTGGGACCCCGTTTTTATCTGGTAGATGTCTGTCACAGTATAGAAAAATACTGCAAGTAGTGCAATAAGCAGATTATCAACTGTAAAAACAGTACCTTCATAGGGGAGGTGCTTGTGTATAGTATATGTATGTGTGTGTGTATGCATGTGTATGTGTGTACGTGTGTACACACACATATATAAAATCTCACTTTTTCTCCAAAAATCTAACTCCCCCATTCTTTCAACCGAGTAATTTTTTCACAAAACCCAAGGCTTAGGCAAATGAGCCCCCATCTCCCATGCAGGGAGATTTCAACCTTTCCAGTCCAATACATAGCCTGCAAATGCTCTCAAGTAATATCCAATTCTATCACTGTGCATCCCAGCAAAGCAAACACTACCAATTTCATGCGATCCTAAGTCTGTCACTGTGTAAAAAGGTCCACATTTTTCTTTGCAACTGCTGTCCTCACTGCGGTAGATTTGTCGTGGTCCCTCTCCATTCCTTGGCAATACCACTTTTTAATCTTACTAGGTGTGGCAATACTGTAATATTTCAATGAAAACGGCTTAATCCTCAAATCTCCGTTCTACGAGAAGATGCGAGGTAGAGATTTACGGCCTATCCTCCACAGTGAGTTGGCGACTGAAAAACTGAAGACCTCTTCCCGGTCAGCCGGCCGGCCGGCCAAACGTCCCTTCCTAGCGCCTCGGCCTTTACTTCCCCCCGCTTCGCCTTCGCCGCCGGGATTGTTGGGAGGGACACCGCCCAGCCTCACCCCAAGGGGCGTTTCCATGCTTAGCTGCATCTTATTCCCACCTCGCACTCACCCGTCCAGCCGTTACTCATTCAGCCCCGGTTAAGCAGGAGGAAATGGGTTTCTTAGAGCCGCTAGACGGATGCGGTTCTTGGATCCACCCGCTTTCATTCACAAAAAAAAAAAATGTAAACAGACGGCGCTTAAACCACCAGCTTCCTTAAAGCCGAGGTGGCGGCACCCGCCACTCACGGCAAAGGGAGGGGAGGGGGACAAGATGGGATCAGTGTCGATCAAGGCTCTAAGTCCCGCCTTCCACGGGCTGCTAAAAAAGCCCAACCCCACCCTTGGCTTCAACGGCTCCCACGGAACCGAGGTCCAACGTGGGGACGACTCAGATGATGGCTCAAAACCACCCGCCAGGCTTCGAACGAGGCCCCGATTGGTGCTCTAAAGCGTCAATCCCCCCCCCCCCCCCAAATGGCCCTGTTCCCCTTCCCCGGCTCCAAATCCTCCCCAGATGCCTCCGGCGGGATCCATTCCCAGCTCTAGAAAGGCGCAGGAGGAGACCCTTCCACGGGCAACCCTCTCCCCGTTGGTTTAAAAGGAAACGGGGTGCCCGTATAACGATTGGGCAATCCCTGGCATCATCACAACCGCGATCTTCCGACGAAGCCTCTGCGCCAGATACTGACCTGGGTTTTTGAAAACCAGAAGAAGAAAACAAAGCGTAAAGGAATGAACGACACCCCCAGCCCCACCCCCAGCCCCGAGGAAGTTGCCGTCGACGAGGAAGAGGACCAGAAACAGCCCCCGGGCGCTACCGCTACGGTGCGCGCGCCGCCAACGGAGTCAGCTCATGACGGAACGCGCCATCTTGGAATTTTCACATAGTAACCCACGTGGTACAGACCACTTTTTTTTTTTCCCCTAGCTCCCTTTAAGCCAATCGGAGGACGAAGCTATTAATAGCCGCACTCCGATTTTTCCTCTTCGCCGTCCCTCTCGCGTCTCGCTTCCCTCCTTCCCTCCCTCCTTCACCTCGCTTCAGAAGGGAAAGGGAGACAAGTTTTGTAGCCTGGGGGAGGGGGGGCTGTTGTACAGTATTCGGAAGATTTCGGAAGTAGGACATCCTTCTCCGAAACGATAGAAATTCTCCGCATTACTGGAGTCTTTTTTCACACGATTCGGGGGGAAGCAGCAGTCTGCCGCCCTACGCATAAGGCTAAGCATGTTAAAACATTACAAACGTGACGATCAATTCCTGTGATGTAACAGAGCTCTGGAACCTTGTCTTCTCATTGGTTTAAAAAAAAATGATTAAAAAAATAACTGCTGAAGTCACCAGAGCAGTATTTAAACAGTGTTTACAAATAAAGCCAATTCCACCGGACCTAATGAAACTTATTCCTTCATAAGGGGAAGGTAAAAGAGGAATCGTTTTCAACCCAGTCATCAGTTCTTTTGATCTATAATTTTTACATTAGAAGACCCACTTGAAATTCCTATCAGATAATATGACATGCCTGTCTGCCGCACATTGTAACCTAGTGATGAATTGAGGACATTGCTTGGATGTGTGGGAAGTGGTGGGATTCAAATAATTTAACAACCGCTTTTCTGCCCTAATGACCGGCTGGCTGGGCGTGGCCAGGCGGCGAGACAGCACTCAGCCTCGTGCAGCACTGGGGGGTGGGTGGGCTGAGTTTAATTGCAAAATGTGGGCTTTGCTTTGTGATATCCAGATGTAGCGAGCAAGGAGTGTGAACTGCACAGAAATACACTTTTCTTTGGTTATGAAGAAATAGCCCCAAAGTCAGACGTCCACTAAATGTAGACTGACTTTTAGCTACACACATTCCCAGCAAACAGCAAATTTTGAAGCTCCAGGTAAAGAGGATTTGTTTTAGGATGAGTAACCACAGTTTGCATGTTGGAAGTCCCTAAAGGAATGCTGGGAAACTCTGTATTTCAAAAAAAACATTTGAGGAAGGGGTGCAGAATAGACCTTCTCTGCCTGAGGTTCGAGAGACTTGGCACCAATCAAAACACTTTTTGTGAAGCAACTGATCAAAACTGACAGGGTAAGCCACTAGTACAGTGGTGGCGAACCTATGGCATGCAGAGTCCTCTCTGTGGGCATGCGTGCTGTCATCCCAGCTCAGCTCCATTCCACATGCGCGCCTCTTGCTGGCCAGTTGGCCTTCAGGTGTCTGTCATGCATGCACTGTGGGCATGGGCGCATGCACAGGGCGTGCGCATGCACAAGGTGCATGGGCGCATGCATGGGAGGTGCAGGTGCATATCAGGGGCATGGCTTGCATTTGGGGTATGCGCACATGCTTTGGACACTGAGTGCCCAAAAGGTTCACTATCACTGCATTACTATATGAAAATAAGAGCAAACACCACTCCCTTCTAGTACTGATGATGTTACCTAGTTTGGTAATGAAACATCTGCAAGAAAACCATCAAGCTCAGAGAGCCCCAAGGACCCCACAGTTCAACCCTGAGCTACAAATATTCTCTTCTATCAATAAACACTTTTTGGTTAGAGGGATTCGGAGCCTGCCTGATATGAGATGGCTCCCAGTGGACTTCATTCTAAAGTTTGATATGATTTCTGTAAATAAGGAATGTAGAATTATAATGGCTGAGTATTTGATCCTTCATACATCAAAAAAATACAAAGATGAGGGATAAACAAAAAACAGATTTGAAAAAAGAAAAGGCTCAGGAAAGAAAAAGAATGAAATTGTAAGAAAGAAAGAGGAAAAGAAGGAAAACCGAAAAAGAATGACTTTCAACTTTGTTACAGATATAAGTAAAACAATGTATCAAATTCTTACTCTGAGATTAACATTTATCTACATTATTTCCATACTCCCTTATTTAATCATCAAAGCCCAGATCAACTTTTAATTTCAGTTTCTCACAAAAAGTCCAGTATTGGTTCATATCGCTTTCATCACTGTTTGTACACTGAGAGCATATGCACCAAGACAAATTCCAATCAAACTTGGCCAATAAAGAATTCTGTATAGTTCTATATAGTTGTTAACGAAATCCAACTGATTTATTTAATTGCACCAAACTCTAAATAAAACAGGAACGGAAAATCCTAAGCTCTAGTGTAGACCATGCTTCTCAACTTTGGCAACTTTAAGGTGCATGGACTTCAATTCACTGAAGGCAGCATGAAGTTCGCCCATCTTAAACTTGCCAAGACTGGAAAACGCTGATCTACAGGTAGAAATTTTTCCATTCCTCATTGATTGATTGATTGAATGATTGATTGAATTTATATTGCTGCCTATTCGCCCATGGCGACTCGAGGCGGCTTACAGAATGTAAAACCATATTTAACATATGGTCATGGGGAGATGGCCATAGTGGACGTGGCCAAGGTGGGCGTGACACAGGACTCCTGTCGGGACACCTGTGGTGACCACATGCTAAGACAGGACTTTCCTCAGATTCTCCCTCACTCTCATTATACTCT